AAACTCTGATTTCAGTTTGGTTTGCCCATGGAAGCGTTACAAATATTCCATGTTACCCCTGAAGGTAAATAGATCACAGAGAAAACTCTGATTTTGGTTTAGTTTGCCCGTGGAAGCTTTACAAACTGCAAATATTCCATGTTACCTCTGAGGGTAAATAGATCCCACAGCAAACTCTGATTTCAGTTTGGTTTGCCCATGGAAGCTTTACAAATATTCCATGTTACCCCTGAAGGTAAATAGATCACAGAGAAAACTCTGATTTCAGTTTGGTTTGCCCGTGGAAGCTTTACAAATATTCCATGTTACCCCTGAAGATAAATAGATCACAGAGCAAACTCTGATTTCGGTTTGGTTTGGCCATATAAGCGTTACAAATATTCCATGTTACCCCTGAAGATGAACAGATCCCTCAGACACAGCTCAAGGTGTGGTGAAAAGAAGGGAAAGTTTATTTTTCCCCCCAGGATTTATAGTATATAATCCTATAATACCATTATAACAATATAATATATAATATAATAATTGATATAATATATAATATAATAATTGATATATAATATAAAATACAATACTCCATCTCACCCTTTTTGGCTTAACAAGAAGAAAAGAGAAAAGAAAAATGAACAACGAAACCAGCAACTTTATAAACAATAATATAATACTATAATATACTATTATAATGATACTATATAATATATAATATATATAAAATAGTATATAATATTAGTATAGAATATTAGTATATAATATCTACTATATAATACTATAATACTATTATAACATATACTATGTATAAAATATATAATATATATAATAGTATATACTATTATATATATTATATACTATATATGTCATATATATAATAGTATATAATAGTATATATTATTATATATAATTTATACTCTATATAAAATATATAATGTATATAATAGTATATACTATTATATATAATATATACTTTATATATAATATATATATAATATATAATAGTATATAATATATACTATTATATACAATATATACTATATACATAATATATATATTAGTATATAATAGTATATACAATTATCTATAATATATACTATATATGGTATATATAATAGATGTAATAGTATATAATAATATATACTATTATATACAATATGTACTCTATATATGATATATATAATAGTATATAATTGTATATACTATGATATATAATGTATAATATATATATAATATATATAATATATGTAATAGTATATAATAATATATACTATTATATATAATATATGCTATATATAATATATATAATACATATAATAGTATATAATAGTATATACTATTATATACTATATAATATATTATATATATATAATATATTATATATAGTATATAATATAAAATATATAATATACTCTATATTATAATAATAGTATAATATACTGTATACAATAATAGTATATACTATACAATACAGTATATAATAGTAGATAATATTAGTATATATTATATGCTATATAACACTATCATGCTGTTATAATGGTATAGTATACAATACAATAATGAATGCAGTATAGAATATATATAGAATATATAATGGTATAGTATACAATGCAATAATGAATGCAATATAGAATATATATAGAATATATAATGGTACAGTATACAATGCAATAATGAATGCAGTATAGAATATATATAGAATATAGAATGGTATAGTATACAATACAATAATGAATGCAGTATAGAATATATATAGAATATATAATGGTATAGTATACAATGCAATAATGAATGCAGTATAGAATATATATAGAATATATAATGGTATAGTATACAATGCAATAATGAATGCAGTATAGAATATATATAGAATATATAATGGTATAGTATACAATGCAATAATGAATGCAGTATAGAATATATATAGAATATATAATGGTATAGTATACAATGCAATAATGAATGCAGTATAGAATATATATAGAATATATAATGGTATAGTATACAATGCAATAATGAATGCAGTATAGAATATATATAGAATATATAATGGTATAGTATACAATGCAATAATGCAGTATAGAATATATATAGAATATATAATGGTATAGTATACAATGCAATAATGAATGCAATATAGAATATATATAGAATATATAATGGTATAGTATACAATGCAATAATGAACGCAGTATAGAATGGGGGACACGAGCCCAGAGGGGCCAGGGGGGCAGGGGGCCGATGGACCCGGGCTGGGGCAGCCCCAGGGTGGGCACAGGGCAGGGACCGTCCCCTGTGCTGGCCTGGGGTGACTCTGCCGTGCCCAGGGTGCCCTGTGCCATGTCTGGAGTGCCCTGTGCCATGTCTGGAGTGTCTGGAGTGCCCTGTGCCATGTCTGGAGTGTCTGGAGTGCCCTGTGCCATGTCTGGAGTGTCTGGAGTGCCCTGTGCCATGTCTGGAGTGCCCTGTGCCATGTCTGGAGTGTCTGGAGTGCCCTGTGCCATGTCTGGAGTGTCTGGAGTGCCCTGTGCCATGTCTGGTGTGCCCTGTGCCATGTCTGGAGTGCCCTGTGCCGTGCCCATGGTGACCCTGCCATGCCCATGGTGACCCTGCCTGTCCCTGCAGCTGCCTGGCCCCGCTGCGTTACTGCTGCGACTTCCGGCCCTACTTCACCATCCACGACAGCGAGTTCAAGGAGTACACCACCCGTACCCAGGCCCCGTGAGTGCCCCTGTGCCCTGCCAGGACCTCCCTGTGCC